GTGGCTCCCGCAACGGCTCTGTCCCCACCAGCCCAGCCCAGCTCGGGCTTCGGGGCTGTGCCGCGGCTGCGGCTGTGGGCAGAGCAGAAGTGAACTGGTTTGGGAGGTGGGTGGTGTGACGGGTCTGGCCGGGGTGGAGCCCCCAGCAGCAGTGCTTGGGAATTCCTGCTCGAGAACAAAACCCCTCTGTTGGCTGAGGGAGCTCGAGCCTCGCCGAGGAGGTTTGTTGGAAGATCTCTATCCCTCGTGCGATTCCTTCTTCAAAGCGTTAATGTTCTCTCTGCCGTTTCCTGAGATCCTGTACCAGACACTGGATGACGGACGCATCCTGCTGCCAGAGGAATTCCCCTTTTCCTGCTCAGCATGAACTTCACATTTTGAGGCACGAAGCTGGGAGAGGCCCGTAACGCAAGGGCTGTCCCGGAGCCCTGGCTGGCTTAATGGTGATGGCTTTAGAATAGCTGCTTGGAAAGGAGAGCAGAGCCATTTGGTCTCGTTTTGTCATCTCTTGGTGTGCTGAAGGAGCTGCCGGCTCAGGGTCAGGCTGGTGCTGTCAGCGCGGGTGCTGCCGGCAGTGGTGGCGCAGACCAAACCCATGCCCGTCCCGGCGTGACCCCGGCGCGCGCAGCAGCAGGAGCCCGGCGGGGTTTGGCGGTGCCGCGCTGTGGGAGGTGCCGGCACGAGGTTGCTGCTCCCTGTGGTTATCTCTGTGAATGAGCAGGAGGCATCTCCAGTGAGGCACCCACAGCGCTGCTCACGCCCGAAAACTGCGCTCGCTGTCGGGGCCGGGTTGGGTTGCCAACGTGACCGGGTGCCCTGTGCTGTAACTCAGGGTGAGTAACACTCGGCAGAGGTTAAAATCTGAATTTCCGTGCCTGGTGTGGGCAACTGTATCCTTTTAATTGTTTGGCGCTGGCGGTTGTAGCATCCTTAGGTTGGCTACATGTTCTCCACTCTCTCTCATCCGCTCGTGGTCTGGGAGCAGCACAGAGCCCTTTGCATGGGGCACCCCTATCCCAGGGACTGTCCCCGTCCTGCTGAGTGACAAAGCTTCCCCTGGCAGAGGAGCTAATCTCTCCCCGAGCAGAGCGTCACCGGCATCTGGCATTGGTGTGGTGCTGGCTGGCGCGCGGGGCGAGGGCATGCACGGGGGCAGCCCGGCCGGCCGCCGAGGGGCACGGTGCTCGCAGCCTCCTCACCCCACTCGCCTTTGCATGCCGGCTCCGGATTAGTAATGGGCTATTTCTGGGCCACTCTCGTGAGTAATGGAATGAGTTGTGCTGAGATTTTTGGGTGGGGACAGTGCCTCTGCCCGCTGAGTCACCGCTGGGCATCACGCCGGGCTCGGGAGCTGCCGGCGCCCGGAGCCGTCCCAGGTCAGGGTGGGTGCTGGTGGCAGTGGGAAGGAGCTCTGGGTGCGGCGACTCTTCTTGGTTTGGAGCATCTCCGGTTCCTCCCGCCCCGTCCCAGCCTGGCTGTGTCCCCAGCCAGAGCCCGGGCAGTGGCCACCCCCCTCGCCGGGGCAGTGTGCGGGCAGGGGAGCCGGCAGCCATGCGGGGATGGCTGCAGCGCCTTCTCCGCCACTCCGGCTGGTTTTGGTGTGGGTGTGATGTCCGGCAGACTGGGCACGGACAGGTCTCAGTGTCTGTCTGGGAGCGGGTGTTTGTCTCCCCGGGCATCCGCTGTTCCTCGTGCTGCGGATGTGTCTCCCTCTGTGTTCTGCGGGTCAGATAGCGGCGCGTCCCACACCACCTTTCTTCCTCCGTTTGGCTTTGAGATACGGAGTCACAAAGCAGCAAATCACGTTTTGCTGTGGACAGAGGAACTTTCTGAGTAAATAAACTATTTTGCCCATGAGCTCTCCTTTTTCCACACTGTAGAGATGATGGCTGGGGAGAGGATGAGCCTTTGCTCAGGCGAGAAGGATGCTCTGCAACAGGGGTGATGTGTTTCTTGTGTCCCTGGGGATATGCTGTCCTCGAGAACTTTCCCTCCTCAAGTGGGCAGGAGACAGCAGACTTCTCCGGCCCTTTTATCTGCCTCCATAACACAAACACCCGTCTCCTGTGCCTGGGGCTGCGGGCATCCCTGGGACGGGCGGGAGCGGGAGGGCACAAGGAAAGGGGATGGGAGCTGTGCCGGGTTTCCCCTCCATGCTCAGCCCGGGGCAGTGGGGCCCTTTGGGCACTTTAGGGTTTATTTTCCCCAAACTTTAGTGTTGCACAAGTGTGCTCGGCCTCCGCACAGATGTGCTGCACCACCGGGATGTGTGCTGAGTGCAGGCTCCTGCCGGATGCAGCCCTTCGTCCTCGCTCTTCTCGCCTTACAGGTGCCGGCTTACTGTTTTTATTAATGGCTCCACAGCACTCAGCAGCCGCGAACCGTTCCTGCTCCGGCTTGTGCACCGGAGTGCTGTAACCCGCAAAGATCCGGGGCTGTGGTGGGATCGCACCCGGATTTGGGTGAAACCTTTCTCTCTTCTGCCCCGCCGCGCGGTCAGTGGGGCAGGTTAGTTTGTGAGAGCTGGGGTGGTCCCGAGACTTCCCAGGGGTTTGTGTGACGGCGCCGGGAGGTTCCCGCAGGCAGGAGCTCAGCGGTGACCTGTTAAGTATGCGGATGAGAGGAGCTCTCTTCAGGCCGCTTTTGAAATGTGAGTCAGCCGCTGAGTCCAGTTTCTTAATCCCTCACTTGCAGCTAATTACGATGCAGCCTTACTCGGGTTTTTCTCTTTTCCTTCTTTTTATTTCAGAGACGGGTGCGGGGTGGGCGCCCGGGGAGGGGACAGGCGCCAGACCTTCGGTAGGGCTCGGTGTCGGCGCCCCGGTGAAATGCAGAGCCTGCGACGGCCGGGCCTTCCCGGCGTGATCCCAGCGGGGTCCGCTCCCAGCGCTCGCAGCTCGGTGCATTAGCCGGGGTGTGTGTGTCCTTCCCGCAGGGTTATTTGCCCTGAATCTCCATGACGCGTCGAGCACGACCTGTCCCTTCCAGTCCGGCGCCCCGGCAGAGGGGTCTGGAGAGGGGCAGGGCTGGAGGACGTGCAGCGTCGCCGCCTTCCTGGGCAGTGTTCGGGTCGCCTGTTGTCTCCTCCTGCCCGCAGAGCAGCCTGAGCCGCTCCAGGGGTTAAACCCTGAGCTGCCGTCGTGCATCTTCCCGGGATTTCCACAGGGCCAGAGCTGGTGGTGTGCGGCGGGTGCGCAGGGACTGGGTCGGGCTCTTTGGACTGAAGCATCTGGGAGCTGGGGATGGGAAAGAGCTTTTGGGCCCAAGGTCGGGGAGGGATGTGATCCCGCCACGGCTGATTTTCTCATGCCTCGTTCAGACGCCACGGCAGGCATTCCGTGGCATCGTCCCCGGCGATTCCCAGGCTCGGCTCTAATCCCCTTTTGAAACTCAAGGGTGCCGAGGCATAGTTGTACTCGCAGCACTGCCTCCTTTTCAGCCGGGGCAGAAAGCAGCCCGCTTTACTGCGGGGTCTCGGCTCTGTCTGCTGAGTGGTGGCTGGCAGCTTTTCCTGCTGCCGGTGCCCGCGTTGGCTCTCGGTGGTTATGTGGCAAAGGCTCCTTTGTCAAACGGGCTGGGACCGAGCCAGCCCGGCACCGGGTGCCAGGCGCGCAGGTCGTGCTTGCCCGGACCTCCGGGAACTCAGCTTGGCGCGTTCCTGCCGCTGATCGGATTATTTGGGAGCTGGTGAGCGTGCCCGGGTGAAACCTGGAGTACAGTTTCTGCCCTGAAGAATTTCTAATCTGAAATAAAACCAGTGTGTGTGTGCAGCTCCGAGGTCGTCAGAAAAGCCATTTGCCTGGGGTGGTGGCACAGCGAGGACGCCCAGCGTGGGGGGGATGGAAGGCCGGGACGGGGGCCCTGCTGCCCGGCGGGGGGGTAAGGCA